TCCCAGTAGGAACCAGAACATGGGACCAGTTCATGCTTGCAATATCTAACATGTGCTGACGGTGATGTGCAGTCCGGTGACCTCATTTGTTGAAGTCTTTGTCATTTTTTTGTCGGTACCCAGGCTACTTGGCAATGCTGTGACATGTTATTGCAGTGGATTAGGTCACTACGTTGGTGCTTGTGCGACTCGCGTCATTCAACTGTCACTAAGTACAGTGTTGTCAGTACTAGTTGTCACTACTTGAAGCCGCGAGAGTAGATTGATCATTAATTTTTAAAATTTATATACATTACTCCTCTCTCTTTGCTCGCTGCTGCACGCGATCGATTTTTATGGCGCTCGCTTGTTCATACTTGCTCTGTGACGCCCCGACGGGCTATGAGCTTGTGATGATGATGACTCCTCTCTGCTCCAAGGAAGTTTCACTCTTCTCTATTCCAAGACGGCTTCACTCTTTTCTGCTCCAAGGAGGCTTCACTCTGAGTAGTTTTCTGATACAGTCTGTCTCGTCTCAGCTACCAACCGATATCCAGTTACTTTTCCCGCCAGCTCTCTTCCACGCCGCTTATGTCTGTGAAACCCATGTCTTTCCACACGTACGCGTATGCGTTGTCCGAGCAACCATGGTGCTGATTTCAGGCAGCACACGATAACACACGATGCGTGTTTGGCTTTTGATTCTCGCGCGGCATGCACCGACGCACCGACGTAGACATAGACAAAGGAGGCAGGAGCACACGCGCACAGTGAGGGGAAGTAGGCCGCAGCCAGATGCGCGCTTGGCTTTGAATCACTCTATTCATCTGTGTCGACTATGTGAGACTGAACGTCGCTAATCAAATCAAAACCGCACAGGGCACATGAATGAAATTCATGACCATGTACATGTACATGTAGAGTGCTGGCAACTGAAATCCGACCCCCTTGGCGGAGCGCCGCGCCCCCAAGTGGGGTCGGATTTCAGTTGCCAACACTCTACATGGCTGTACGTGTACATGTGAGTAGGGGTGTGCGGATAATACTCGAACAGGTGGCAGATTCTGCTCGAAAAGCAGTGAAATTGGCAGAACCATACAAACCTTATGGCGGGCAATTCCTCGAATTCTGCTCCAGTTCTTTATCCACATACCAAACATGCATGAAACTTACCAGAAAAAGTACCGAATTCTGCCAATTTTTCTGCCGGCATTATCCGCATACATGTATGCCAACGTGTGAGTCTTGTGGAGATGAGTCAAAGGAGCTGAACTTCCGGTGCCGAGAGGCGGGCTTGCAGCCCAGTATGGCAGCGTCCCTACGTCTCGCCCCCAAGTCAAGATCATAAGAGGAAGTGAATACAATAGAACCGGTACATGTACAATAGAAGTCACACTGGCCGAAAGCAAAAAAATTATCAAAACCCCGTGACCAGGTGACTGCAGGGGCTGGGGCAAAGTCAGTTAGTAGATGCACGTTGTTTCTGATGTGACGCGCAAGTTCAGCTCCCACTACATTGTATTTGGCTCCCGCGTTGGGAAACAACGCGAGTGACCTGAAATTGCGCGTCACATCAGAAATAACGTGCATCTTTAATTTTAATCTCTCTATTAGGAGAGTGTGCCGTGTTGATGGGGTGACAGCATACACTGTACATGTACATAATAATACATAATTATACAGAGGGTGTTGATCTACCGTGTAGACACTCCGAGTCTGTGCGGAAATGGCGCTTGGTTCTCATCGACCCAGTACTCTACATGGCTGTACTCCAGTCATGTAGAGAACCAAGTCCGCTCGGTCAGGCCATGACCGGACCAACCTTTTGGCCACCAACGTGTGGACATGTTTACTGCCGAGGAGGTCATGTGACTACCCTCCATATCATACACAAACTGTATGAAAGACTAGGGTATGGCCGGACCAATCCAAAACTGCTTCTGCCGATCCTGCTACTGGAACAACTAGTACATTGTTATTTCAAGTCCACAAGGTATACAAAACACATGCAATGGTCTAATCAAAAAATTGGAAGTGTCCTTGCTGTGCTGGTGTCCTTATGCTTCGTAGTTCGGCTGAGAGCTCGTGGTTGTGACGAGTTGGGAATGCAGTATAATGGTCTAATCAGATCAACTAATCATGGTTGTGGGTGTCACAAGTAGCGGGGAGTAGTACGCTAATTGTGCTAATCCCTGCTCACAAGGGCGCTTAGTATTAGGTGTCAGCACAGTCCTAGTTTGGGTATCGCGTATCCGGTGATCTCAAGCGTTTGGAGTGTTGGGAAAGTTACCTCCAAGTGGCTCATTTGCGCACGACCAGCACGCATGTGCACAACCATGCGCCACGTAGTCTACTGCACTGGGTGTGCAGTAGGCACCTGCGGATAATGCTAGCTATAATCATTGTATAGGAATGGGTTCGCGGTCTTCCGCCGACGACTTGAAGCCGAAGTCGCAACCTCTATTTCGAATTTTATACGATTGTACATGATAGTATATGTGGATAAAAAAGTTATAATTTATATGTGGAAATTGTGCTACTAGCACTGTCAGTTATTTGGATCGATTATGCTAGTTATAATGCTAGCAGTGCTGAGACTCATAGTGCTACAAAATATCAGTTCTTGCGGTGGGAAATAATGACTTCCCTATGCCGTCACTCAGAATAATATGGCAGTATCACGAAAACGGTGAAAAATTGCTTACACGTTCATTACGTCAGTATAGAGCCTTAGAGGGCTGCCAGCGACGCCGTCGCAGGGAGCAGCCGTGTGTCTCTCTGCGCTCTAAAATTAGCACTACTTTTCACGGCGGTACCATCACTGACTGGACGTAGTGCTAGACTGGCCTAGTTTTACACATCGATTGTTCTGGACAAGGTCATATTTGGAGACTTTATGCTAGGGCAGTGCCGGTCTTCCCCACATTTGTTTGTTTCTTTCTTTTATTTGAATTTGCTTAGAGCACAGGCGATTCTGCCTTCTCACCGAAGGAAAAACCTCCGGTTCCTGCCACATGGGTCATTATGCTAGTTTTATTACGCTAGCATTATCCGCCGGTGCCTAGTGTGCAGTGTAGCAGTAAAAAAAGATGTTCCCAGTCAGATCTCGGAGAACTTCGATACCTGTGCATGCTATACATGTTATTGAACTCAAAACCCTTTATTGGAAATAACACGCAAATGGAAGAGGTGCACAGCAAAGCAAAGTAGAAAAGAAATCCAAAGCAGCAATAAACAAGGAAACAACGACAATTGTACATGTTGGTTGGTTGGTATATTGTATTTTACTTAGCCAGAATGAACAGGCATTGCTGCCTTCTTGCCTGGACAAGTGGATTGTCCAAGCTCTCACAAAAAGACGAAGAAAGGACAGAAATATTACATGAGAGTGTGAAGCATGCAATCTTATAACATGTAATTCCAAATGTACTACTATGAAGTACTATGACGTACATGTACTGAGTACAATCATGTCAAAAACTGATACAATTTTTATAGAAAAGTAAAAGGGACCAAGGAACTACAAGTTACGCTATACTGTCCACTAACACCACGAACAGTTACTAAACAATCAGCTCATGCGATAACATAATTGCACGACACTGACCGACGGTACTGACGTTCTGCAACTAACTGGCTAACAGCTCTAGCACATCTTGGATGCGCACTCCAACATCCTTCCAACTTGAAAAGGCGGTTACTTGTAGTTCCTTGGTTCTTTTTCTTTTCTATAAATTAATCCTTGGCTCTGCAAGTCTCCATCCGAATCTATTCTTGCACAACTGATACAATTCTATTTCATGTTACAAATCGACACAGTCATATCATTTTGATGACACAAAGCAGCATAGCAAGGAAGCGATGAGACATAATACTATGGAATGCCAGGAGTGGGGTAGAGGCAGGGGTAGCTTTGCCGACCATAGGGTCTAGGCTTCATTGCAACCCAGTGCTCCACAGAGACAACTGACAACTGAAATTGCCCCTGAGGGTGGGGTGGGGGTGGGGGGAGGGGGGCGTTAACCGGCAAAGTGTGCATGATGTCTGAGATTCACGGCCAGAATTAATGGAGCCGGAGAAGGGAACTGAATTCGACGTTTTTTTTCTTCCTTACTTTTTTGCTTCGCAGTCTGTTGGTTGTCCCCTCCCGGGCCAGGGGCTAGTTGCGGGTCTAGGCGCTACTGACGTCTTGCTCTGGCATGGACATGTCTGAATGTGGTGCATCTCTCACGTCATGAGTTGTGCCTGTTTCAAGCCTGCAGCTGGGCTTGAGTCTAACGTCCAAATATTGTAGTCGCATTGGTGTTTGCTCAATGCTCCCATGATCGCGGGCTAACCATACTGCGGGCATTGCGCAATCATTCATCCGGATACATGTAATAGTTGCACTGCAGGGTATCACAGTGTCCTCCCTCGGAATTACCTGTAGAATAGTGAGATGTCTTGTCAAAGGCTAGTGCTTCCTTGATAATCTGGCACCATCCATGCGATGAACATTCAATGAGGATGTTGGATCCACGAGCTGAATCATCATTCTCCTCGTAGCATCATGCATGACACCCGGAATGTTGGGTAGACTTCAGCCTCACTTCGGGACGTTTCGTACAGTCGGCTCCTCAGGTAAGCTATCAGACCAGACTGATGGAGCACGGCTAAAAATGAGTTGTAGTTCGCAGGTGAAGTAAACAATGTAATGTCGTGCAAAACTGGTGTCAGGCTGTCAGCGCAGTTCGTGCGTAGATCTACGCGTGTAGCGTGCGATCGAACTACTGCGATGACCAGCCTGACTCAGCATGTGTACTTGGCCATGTGCACCTCACCTGTCACGTGTGACGCTGGGAGTCACGTGCGTCAGCTGGGAGTCAGCATCAGCTGGGAGTCGCGTGATCAGCTGACTCTTCGAACACATCAGACGAGAAGTCGGCGGTCGGTGCTCTGTTCCGTTCTGATCTGCAAGCCAGTAAAACTGAGCAAACGCATGATCACGGGATCAACGCTGCTCTTGTATTGCAACTGAAAAAGCAAAACATTCTTTGAAAGGCTAGAACTAAAGTTACTTGTGAAAGAAGAACCGTGGAGTTGTATTTCTTTCTCGATTCTCTCCCGGAACATCCGTCCATTCGTCTCGAAGGACAATAGTTGTGCTGTTTGGACGACTGATATGGCGTCGATTCAAATACTCGTCGCGTTGGGCATGCTGGCCCTAGCCTGCGGATCGCCGCTCGAGCCAAAGGTCGATACAGTGTGGCTGCTGAGCGTCAACTACACTAGCTATGTGTATTCACCGATCAAGGACCGCCTGCTGGCGTTGCATCCGGGTGGTCTTGGTGAGTGTATTGTATCTAACACTAGTAACAGCGACTGCTGATCGCTCGGTCTCGGAATATAATAATAATTATTATTATTATTGCGTCCAGCTTACTTCGACGACGTAGACAGAATTTATTTTTTCGCTGCACGTGGATCAGATACATGTATGTGCGCCAGTTCATCGTCAAGCCATCATGCGTTGTTATGATCAGTAACGCAGAACATTGTGTGGTGACAAGAAGATGTCCCTCCTAAAGCATGGTGCGGCATCTCCCGGGGTCAGAATACGGGTACAACTACCGTAAAGTCCGGAGCAAACGCCCACTTCGCAGCAAACGCCCACCCCAGCGGGTCCATACTATTTTCGTCTTTTTCAGGTCAATTTCGTTGTAAACAACTGGCATGAAGGTCGAATGCGTACGAGAACGACTGTAATGCCTACAAACTGCCTATGTCCTACCAGGAGGCTGTGCAAAAGCGATTGTCATTATCTTCCTGCAAAGAAATAACTTCTGTCGAGATTTCCTTTCATTCAATAAAGGTGGTAGTTTGTTCTCCATGTGGTACGAGTAATGCCGCATAAATTTGTGCAGTGCCACGATGTCGCACTGTCAAGAACAATAATTGTTCTGATGAAGCGTCAGTCAACGGCTTGACTGGTCCCCATATTGCAGTTGCAAGTCGAACAGGGTATGTAACAGAAGCTACACCTACAACGTCGCTGCTAACTTGTTGAAAACTCCGAAGTGCCCAAGAAAAACATTTGCCTTTGGGCGCTGTGTGATCTCGAAATGATGGCTTGAAACACCGTCAGAAGTGTATTTGGTTCCTTCAATACCCGGTACCTTGTTATTCGGAAGAAAACCTGTTCGGATTTGCGAAATAAAACAACCATCATTATAAAATCACTACGAGCTAGCTAGCTCGTGGCTATCGCTAGTGCACAAAGAGATTTTGAAACCAGGAAAGTGAACATAGTTTACCGTAGCAAAGTGCTCTTCCCGCTACGGTGTGAGATGCACTTTCG